ATTGAAGAATAAGCATTTTTATTCTTAACAAAGTAAGAACACCCAGAGCTATAAGATATCTAGAAATAAGTATGGAGGAAATAGATTCTAATATTAAAATATTCTTTGTGAGCAATTAATTTAGAATTTAGCAATATACTTGTTATTTAAACAACAAATCTATCTAAAACTACACATATTTTAATATGCATTAAACATTTATTAAATGTTAAATTATAATATCATATTCTGGATAAAATTTTGACATTTAGTTTTTTGGTAATATTTAGTAATTTTTATAGAATTAAAAAGCCATCTAAAATATATTAAAAATGAAAAAAATTATGGTTACATGGCCCAGATGTTCTTGGTGGGGCCAGTGGCATCTTCTTGAGCTTTTTAGTACAACTCTGCTAGATTGTAAGCACTAGTAAAACTTTCTTGGTGGGAAGAGGGAAATCAGTAAGGAGTACAATATGAAGAGATGGCTTCAGTTTTGCTTAAAATTTTAGTGTCGTTTATATTGTGAAGTTCAAGAGAATGTTTCCATATCTTGATAGGAATTTAGCAATTTTGGGCACAGACTCTTGATTTTGAAAGTCTGAAAATATAGGGATGTTGTGTAACTAAAACACGCACAGCTCTCATTTTGTTGCACTTGTAGTGCTTGTGTCTTGACTTTTCATTTTCAATTAGCACTTACTCTCAAACCAAAATAGAAGCTAAAGAAAGCGTTGAACAGCAAATCAATAGGAATGGTTTCATCTTCATATGAAGAACAGCTTCCAACAGGGCTGCAAAGGAAACAAGGACAGTTTCTAAAGAGAAATATTTTACAAGCTTTGTCAGAAAGGTGGGCAATTTTCTATTTATTATCCATTAATGGTTAATCCAGACAGGTAAATTCATGTACACAAATAAAACAATTAAAATATCCATGTAGTTAGAAATGGAAGAAAATTACTTAGTCTTCCTTCTGTATAGTGCAACAGTTCTATTTAGAAATTATCAGTGGTGATGCTTGATAACAGAGATTATGTAGCTATCTTTGAGTTACCACATCTCTTATATACCTACACAACGCTGATCTAGGTCCTGAATGTCATAATTATTGAGGACCTGGTCACTCACCAAAAGATTGGTGGCTTAAATCTACTCAGAGGTTCTCTTAAAGAAATATCTAGAGGTCTAATTCCCGCAAATCACAATCAAAGGAAAAACCCTATGGTTCTACTTTGACATACATGAAGTCACTAATAGTAAACACAGATACAACAGCATTTTTAAAATTAAAGTTTAATTGGACTAGTTTGAACCAAATTGAAATAATATTTCTTTTAATATCTACACACAATTCACATATATCACTTGTTTTCTAGTGTTCTTCTAGTTCCAACTTTATTTCAGCTATAATTTCAATATGATTTTTAAAGGAGTTGGCATGAAGATGTGATTAGATAGATTGTGGTCAACATACTTTCTTAAATTTAGGATATGAGAAAGGGATGCCCTCAGAATAGCATTTTCCCTTTCTGAAAACCAGCTGAAGTTGTTTGAAATCTGTGGGAAATCTTGAAACTAACAGCAGTTTTGAAACCATAGCACTTTTGTGTCAACATCTAACAATAACAACTAATTTGTGTTGAGTAACAATCAACCCTTAGCTCACCTTCCAGTGAGTTTTTGGAAGCTGTAAATTGTGTGGGACAAGCTCATTTTTCTCCTGAGGAGCAGTTGGCAGAACAACTCCTTACCCACTAGTCAACACCTAAGGCATTCAACATCCCAGAAGAAACCCATTCAAAGTAGCCCATGTAAGAAGCTGGTAGCCGGAGGTATAGCACCCAGGAATTAGGATAACAGGATGCAGGGGAAATGCACATGTTTCTTTTAGAGTCAGGTTTAGTGCTTCCTGAGGGAAACTAAACATCATACATCATTTATCTTGTCTTTGGGAATTGCGGGGGATTGTTATGTTTTGTCTGGTGTTCTCTCTCTCTTTGTGTGTGTGTGTGTGTGTGTGTGTGTGTGTGCGCACGCGTATGTTGGTGTGCTCAAATATGCTAAACTTTGTTCCTTAGGAAAAAAGTCCAGATAAACTGAGTAATCGACTAATAGCACGCTCATAGAGCGATTTAGAATTTTACTCACTCTGAAGAGTTGATGAAATAGATTATAAGTGACCCGATGCTTAATACAAACACAAGGATAACCTATAAAAAGAAAGAAAGATTCAATTTTATTTCTATAGAATGAAACTGAAAAATAAGCCAATAAAATGGAGTTTCCCCTTTCTCACCTTGGCCTAGTGGTAAAGAGTTGCTCTGTCAACCCAGGGGCAGAGGCTTTGAACCCATCAGTTACTCTATGGGAGAAAGATAGGCAATCTCTTATGTAATTTTCTCCCTCTGAAAACCTGCTGAAAGATCAACTATGAATTGCTTTTGATTCGACAATATATAATATATGTGCCCATCTCTGTCACATATTCACTAAGTTTAGCATTTCTTCAAGACAAAAATGATTGGACTTTTACTAAGTTAAAAAAAAACCAAACAGCAAACAAACATGGACCCATTTTACTTCCCTACTCCTGACTCTCACACACTTCAGAGCAGTCTCTCCCTTCCGCTGCTCTAGAGCTTGAGAGTTTTAGTAGCTCCTACTATTTATTTAGCCATTCATTCAGTCATAAAAGAGCATCTAGTAAGTGTCAAATATGTTATGCACTTAATTACATTACAGAAATTGAGGCCTCTAGATTTTCAATGTTCATATTATTCTAGGAGAAACAGTCCCAAAACTGTATGCTTGAAAGAAAATCAGAATTTTGAAAAACAAAAAATTAGTGTAGGAAGAAGGAGGAAGAAAATGAATGCTTTTAACTGCTGATGCATCTGGTCTGTGAATTAAGTGGTACATGTGGTTTGTAATCAGAATATTGACCATTTAAAATCAATGATTCATTTGGGTGTTTTATTTTTTCCTATCTCTAAATAAATGCATTAGCAAATTCCAGTATTTTTCAGGTTAAACTTAATTAATTCAAGTTTTTCCAAGAATTTCAAATTTCTAATTTGCCCTTGTCTTAATATATTTAAGTCTAATGGGAAACTCTAGTGGCTTAGAGGTAAGAAACTGTGCTGCAATCCCAAAGGCATGTGGCTCCAATCCACCAGCTGTTCTGTAGGAGAAGAAGGATGGGCAATCTACTCCCATGTGATTAACTGCCTCTGAAAACTTACTGCAGGGTCAGCTAGGGTTGTTTCCAACTCAACGGTATACCACAACAACAATGTAATTCTAATAATGTAGCTGAATTTTATTTGTATATAAAGCTTCTCTCCTTTTCCAGTTCAGGTGTCCTTTTCAAAGGCTGCATATATCGGAAAAAAGAAATCTCTTCTGTCTTCATATTTGTCTTCCATCTGAGATACCTCTGAGCTCAGCAGAATTGTAATTCAATGGAGGAGAGTGAACAGGAAATGGAAGTAATAGCAGGAAATATTTTATTTACTATTAGTTGATGATGTTCTTATTCCAAGGCTCTTTGAATATGGAAGGTGTTTAATATTGGTTTTTATGGTTTGTTTCTTTGGATTTTCTAATTTGATACATATTCAAATTCAGCAAGAACTGCTTTACTTTTCATTATAATCCAGTGAAGGGCAATGATAATTCAATAGTGGAATTTTCCATTCCATTTCCAGCTAATGCACCTCATGCATAGTCACCTCCCCTTGTCATTAGGGACTTAACATACAACTGTGATGCTGACTAGGTGCAGCCATGTTTGCTGACTAAGAAAGACTAAGCTAGTGAGGATAAATTGGCAATCTACTCCTGCAAACTGTTGTTTTTGTTGTTATGTCCCTTCAACTAGGAACCGACCCACAGCAGACCCTCCATTGGGTTTTCAGAAGCAGTAAGTTATACAGAAGATTGTCTATCTGTCTCTCATGGACCAGCTGTTGGATTCAAACCATATGTCTTTGAGTTGGCAGCACAGCTCCTTGCCACTAGGTTACAGAGCTCCTCTGATCACAAAGATCTGATCCCTAAGTCATCATAGGATGGTACAAGAACAGGAAGAGTTTATTTCCTTTGTTAATGGCATTGTCTTAAGTCAGGAACAACACTATGTAATCTAACAACAATATGATCCTAGTACTTGGTATAGGTTAGTAAATGAACGTGTTGTTTTGTACGGTGGAGTTGGAACCAACTCATAGTTGACCTTCCAGGAGTTTCTCAAAGGCAGTAAATTATACAGAAGAAATTTCCCATCTTTCCTTCCAAGGATCAGGCAGTGAATTTAAACCTCATACCTCAACTTTGGACATGTTGTAAGGAGGGACAGGTCCTTGGAGAGGGACATCATGCTTGGGAGGGTGGAGGGACAGTGCAATAGAGGAAGACCTTCTATGAGGTGGATTGATTCAGTGACTGGGGTAATCGGGATGGGTGTGTCAGAGGCAGTGCAATTGGCACAGAATAGAGCAGGGTTTAGGGCTGTTGTACATAGGGTCGTTATGAGTCACAAGAGACTCGATGGCACATAACAACAACAAACTCTAGTTAGCCATACTCTTACCACTAAGCTCCCAGAACCCTCAAATCAATTTAGTGTTGCCAATATAAATAACAAATAAAGATACTTACTATTTAAATAGGAGTCCCTGAGTAATGTAAATGGTAAAGTTCTTAGCTGCTAACTGAACGGTTCATGATTTAAATCTACTCAGATGTATCTTATAAGAATAATCTGGTAATCTACTTCTGAAAAATTAGCTATTGAAAGCCCAGTGAATCACAGCTGTATTTTGACATAAATGGGATCCCCATGAATCAGAATCTTTTTTTTATGGTAACTGGCTTATTTCTATGTAAATCGTACAGTATGATGGATGATAAAAGCTAGAATAACAACCAACAGAAGAGTGATGGGGAATCAAAACACAAGAAATGAGGACAAAAATGTTTCCATTTTTCTGGTAATTTATTGTTCAAGGGCTCATTTCTGTTTTCCATGAGATGCATATTCTCAATAGGCTGCTAGCAACTGTTTTTTAGTACATCTGAACCTTCCTCCTGTTAACTATTTAAGCAGGTAATAGAAGCATCTCTATTGGTTGCTTCATCTGGTTTGTGCAAGAACTCAAACATTCTTTGCCCTGACAAACATGGTTGTTGTCATGTACCATCGCGTTGGAACTGACCCATAGTTGACCCTCCAAAGAGTTTTCAGAGATAGTTAATCACACAGGAGAAGATTGCCCATTCTTCACTTGCAGAGCAGCTGGTAGAATCAAACTGCATGCCTTGTTTTGTTTTAATTTTTATTTTTTCATTGGTTTTCTTACAAGTCTGTATACATTGTGTTTCACACTATTCTTCATTCACATTGTTTCAATCATTTCATGCATCATGTTTTATAAAATTAATCACCATTGGATCTTACCCATCATTACCCTTTTCACCCAAATCTTTCCAACTTCCTCTCCATGAAACTGTGCAACACTTTAGTTTCCCCCTACCAATCCTCTGCTCACTCCTCTTGAGTTCCCTTACATGTTTTACTAGTTATCCTTCTATTTTTCCAATAATGATTTTATGCAGTATTTGTCCTTAGGAGACTGTATTCGTTCACTCAGCACAATGCTCTCCAGCCTCTCCCAAAATGTGTAGTATTTTTGAAATCATTGCTCCTGAATGCTGCATAGTATTCCATTGTATGAATGTATGACAATATGACAATATCCCAGTCCATTCAGTTGTGGTTGGACATTTCAGCTGTTTCCATGTTCTTGCGATGGTGAATAATGTTGTGATGAATTTTGGTGTACAAATTTCCATTTGTGTCTCAATTCTAATCTCCTTGGAGTCTATTCCTAATGGTGAATAATTGAGTTATATTGGGTTTCTATGTTCAACTTTTTGAGGAAACTGTCTTCCAGAGTGGTTGTGCCATTTTACAACTCCACCAACAGTGTATGAGAGTTCCCCCTCTCTATATCCTCTCCACCATGTATTGATTGCTGCATGTAGATCAATGAAACAGAATCGTTAACTCAGAATTTAACCCATCTATCTATGGTCAACAGATATTCAACAATGAAATAAAGTCTATCAAAAGTGGAAATGACAACCTTATCAACAAACAGTTGCATCAAAACTGGACTGCTACCTACACAAAAATTAAGCAGGATCCACATCTCACATGGTGCACAAAAATCAACTCAAAGTGGATCATAGACTTGAGAGTAAAGACCCAAACCATAAAGTTCTTAAAAGACACACTTGGACCAAGCTTCGAAGGCCTAGCCTATGATATAAAGAGACTGTCAAAGCCAGACAAAAATGCAAAATCTTGAGAGGATGAAATTTATGAATGAGACTTTCTAAAGATAAAATCTCTGTCCTGGACCAGATGACTTCATTGCTGAATTTTACCAAATATTCAGAGAAGATTTATCACCAATTCAATTTAAATTAAAAAAAAAAAAGGAAAAGAAGTAACATTCCCAGAGACATTCTATGAAGCAAGTATAACCCCAATACCAAAAACAGGCAAAGATATT